CATGAGAACTAATACAAATTGAGTAGATATATCCGAAATTAGTGTATCTGAATACAAGTTTAGCAAATTTAGATCATGAGTTTTACAAAACTGACGGATTAAATCTTTTACACCGAAGTCACCCGTAACGCCCGTGCAGACATCGAAAGGTCATCCGAATGCCTACGTCCATTTTCTACCTGGTGTTTTCCCGCATCACGTTAGTACATGGCTCATTAGTTTCGGAAGTTGTTCATTGATATGCCAATCATTCTTTTGAAGCAACTAAAGTAGCTCACTTAAATGAATGCACCTTCCCTCTCCTTTCTTTAGCATCAACGTTTAGCTACTGATGCTTACAGTTACAATCCGATCCTAAGGGGAAACTGCACACAATAGGTGAAACGGCACAAAGATTCCAAGAGAGAAATAATCATTTCTCTTAAGAAGGTTATTAGTAACGCTGTAGTAGTTCTACTACGCACAGGGAAAGAAAATCTATTTCAAAACAAATTCGTATATACTGGCGTTTTAGATGTTTGAAGGGAACATATTTGCCATCTGTCGATGCGAGAGAGTAAAACAAACAATCACTCGAAATAGAGACAACGTTTCATTATAAAGCATACAAGAGATTCAGAGTAATTTTTTAGTTTTGTTTTAAGATAAGCATAATTAACCTTTTTTTTCTGTATTAAATTCAATGGATAAATATATCATTTCAATACATAAATTGGTTTTTTCATTCCACGTCAAAGAGTAAATATTCTACATGTACATTCAGCTTTTAGAAGCGTCAAATCGAGCCTCCATCTGATTATGCTCGATTATAATTCATTAATGGAATAAAATATGCAGCAGTACGAAACATTAAAACGATCTTCGACTTTCGGCGCTTAAAGGTATCACAAAAATTTCTTTCGCTTAAAAAAATAGCTTATCCTCTACGGGATCATACACTTCTACATTATTGATATTCGATATCTCTCTATAGAGAAAATTCTCTTTTCTTAGTGCAGTGGTGTTTCTTTATCCATTTAGACGGAAATGTTTTTCAGAGAATATTAACATTTATCACGTTAATTACCAGCCGCATTTACAAGCAGTGTGTTGATTTATCGATCAGTTCCATTAGGAAACTTTCCCGATTTAAAAACCTTTAATTTGTATTGTTTGGTTGAAACAGTTTATCTGCACCGCTATTGATTGATGATTACATTTTAACGCACTTCTGTATCATTAGTACTCGTTTAATCACGTTAGTTTACTCGATGCTAGTTAATTGCACGATTTTCTTCACTGATTACATTGTAACACACTTCTAAGCATTTCAAACGAATTTTATTTGTACTTTTTATTTTCACGACTAGTTCATACTGATAGTACAAATGAATGTTAAATAATTGTTATTTAATTAATCAAATAATGCTGAAAGTTGATATAGTGCTTACGGAATTTAAATATTAACACTTTTGGTTTTTTATTCGATAGAAATGTAATAATATTAAATATATATATAAAAGCTTCTGTAAACATTTATTTAATAATAGGGAGTAACATAAGAACTTTTGTTTGCAAGTAAATCAAATCAATGCCTTAACTCATTTAAAATATTCATTATGTACTTCTTAAAGGTTTCATCTTTTAAGTCTGTGATCCAAAGATCAGTTCCTGATTCGGATGGTCATATAATAAAATTATAGTTTTGGTTAATGGACGGGTGTTCTGATATGGCGTAAAAATAAAAATCCAGTGAAACTGATTTTAAATTATATATAGTATTTTGAATCTAACTGTAATTCGAATTTTAGTTCCGGAAAAGTAACAACTCTTAGAGTTTAATATACATGTTGTTAATTGATGGTAGTCAATGACAATATGTCAGTATTGTCATTGACAATAGCTATGTCAATAATAGCTATGACAATAGTTATGTCTATAATGTCAATGACAATAGCTATGTCAATAATAGCTATGACAATAGTTATGTCTATAATGTCAATGACAATAGCTATTTTTTTAATACTTAAAATTTTACTTTTGATTTTCGTATTTTTGCAATTTAAGATTTTTTTTAACAGATTTTTAGGTTTCCAAAGCAAAAGTGGTCTAAAAATACTAGTTTAAAATGCAATTTAAAATTCTGTCTAAAATGGTTTTTCATTCACGATTTTAAATTGAATTTCTCTACCTTGGAGATGGTATATGGAGAGATTTCTTTTTATAAATTGTTAGGAATTTTATTCGTACATATATATATATATATATATATATATATATATTACCGAACAATTTTTTTAAATAACCAAATTTAATCAGCCTAGAATTTTCGCGCATTAAGCTGCTGAAAAATTATAAGTAAGACACAAAGTAAAAATTTAAAACTATTTTTCACAACCCCCAAAACTGAAATCCATAAGTAATAAATTTCAAAAATATAAATGCAACAAAAAATTTTTAAAAAAATGTTAAACCAAAATTCTTCAAACAAGCACTACCAAAATTCAAACAATCAAGAAAATTTAAAGGAAAACGAATATAATAGAAGAGGAATTCAATCAATCAACTTCAGTGCATTCGTCAGGAGGAGAATGATATATATATATGTACGATGGAATTTTATTATATATATATATATATATATGTGTGCATATGTTTACTTAAACTATAATTAGGTAATTTTAAAATTTTGAATGTTGAAACAAAAAAAATAGAGAGAGTAATATAGTTAAATTAATTTAATCAGGTCTTTTTCAAAATAATTTGATTTTAATATTTACAGTTTTTTACTTTCACTCTTAGCCAATGGCTGTTTACTAACTTTCACATCATAGTTATATTACTCTCGGTAACTTTTATTTCAAAAACTTAAAACTGCCTAATTATAATTTACTTTAATTTAATGCTGTATAAGCATCTCAGCAGCAACCAAGCTACGCTTAAGTTTTAAAATCTTATTTGCACGCTTCTTTTTTTTTATTACATATATCTGTGTTACATACAAGCGTAATGCACAAAAACGGTTCCACAAAACACCTTTATTCATGTTCCTAAGAATTTATAGAACTTAGCATAGTTTTAGTTAAGCTCCTTCTATGTCTGAAAACACAGCTGTGACTAGCATAATTTTACTTAAAAAATACTTTTGATTAAAAGTTTAAAAACATGTTTTAAACATTTTTCAGACACGCGTAAAACTTGCCATAATTAACAAATTTAATTTTCCCCAAAATTCTCTTATTTCGAATTCAAATATTTTGTAACAAGAATTAGACTTTGCTTCACCTTTAGAGCTAAAAGCTTGAATTCGTGCAAAGCTTTTAGCCTAAAAAGCTTTTTGACATAGGCGTGTTCTTGAAACACTTTATATCAAATAAAAAAGTCTGAAAGACACCAGAATTTGCAAAACGTTTCATCTGAACATCAAGTTTTACTGCTAATGGAAGGTAAGCTTTCGCCTCGGGTACATAGAAATTGTTGTACAAAGTATTGGAGTTTAAACTGATTTTAAACTTGTAAAGTCATTAGATTATTTTGAAGCAGGTGACGTGTAAAATGTGCAATGCCCTCGCCGGGATTCAAAGCATGGACCTCTCTAATACGCGTCAAGTATGCTTCCAATTACACCTCAAAGGCATATGGAAAGGAGGGAGAAAATACTTTATATACTTTCTTTTTAAAAGGCGACTGAGGAATTGGGGATCCAATCGCCAAATCTTGCTGATGAGAAATGATCGTCCACCACCTTTTCACTTCGGACGCCATTGTAGAACCAATAGGTTATTTAAGCAGAGGATGTAAAAAATTTGCAATGCCCTCGCCGAGACTCAAACTTGGATGGCTCGATTATGCGCCGAGTATGCTACCATTACACCACTACTGGAAGGAAGGATAAAACAAAGAATATGCATTGTTAAGAAGAAAAACTTCGCAGTAGCAGGAAAAGCTTTCTTCAAACGAAAAGGAAAACAGCTGCGCATGCGTGAAACATCTGTCACCAAAAAGTTCAACAGCCAGTGAAAGTGAAACTTCACCTGATTTTCTTTTTCATCTTAACCTGTTCCTCAATTTCCTTTACACGCGGCGGAAGAGGAAAATCTCGGTCAGGTCCGGTACATCACAGAGGGGGGAATTCTCGCCAACAGGTTCCGTCGCCAAATCCCTTGACGAATTTTCCCTTTCTTTCTAGCGACGTAGAAGACAAACTGGTTTACATTACCTCTATGGAGCCTTCCCTTCTTTACATACTAGACGTTCTTTGGATAAATTACCTTTTAAACTAAACGTGCCTGTTAGACCATGTTTAGAGCAACTTGTTTGGTTAGGTGGGTTGGGCTACGACCACTTCTGATACCTTTAAACTAAACATAAGAATACCTCTCGACTGTAAGTCTGAAAGGTTTTTCTGTCACCTTCTCGAATGCCTTCGTCGTACAATTCGAAAGAATCTCCGTCTAGCAATCGGAAGCTTCGGAATTCGAATCCCGGCGGGGGCAAGCAGGCTGTTTCACCTTGTCTATGTCTAAAACATTCTAATTCCCTCTGAGTGGGGGAAAATATAATGTTTTTTTCTCTCTTCATTGCTTGAACTTCGCGGTGTTACTGGAAGCATGTCCAACTAGCAGTGGGGAACGAATCTCGGAGATCAGTGGGGAACGAATCTCAGAATCCGAAAATCGAATCTCAGAGAGGTTCTTGCAAATGTTTCACACCTTCTGTTCCGAAATAAATTCTGATGGTATTTGCAAGTCAGGCATGAAATTTTGCATAATACTTGCCGAGTCCTTTTTCAGACAAAAAAAAAAAAAAAGGGGGGGGATTACATGGTTGATTCTGATCATCACAAACTTGTTCCAAACCACATTAATTTTAGATCAGAAAAAATAGTAAAATATTTATGTAATTGAGCTAAAAATTTTCTTGAAAATAAGATTATTAATGTTCACAAAGTTTTTAAACTGAAGATCAGGATTTTGATTATAAATATGAATTCAAGAAAATTTCTATTAATTTCCTTTCAGATCGATGGTATTGGTACCAACAAGCCAAGAACCAGCTGATAAAAAATTTAGATGACGATAGAAATTACAACGTTGCTAAAAATATTATCCTTTTCATCGGAGATGGAATGGGTCTGACTACAGTGACGACAGCTCGTATCTTGAGGGGACAAAAGAGAGGTCACACAGGAGAAGAAAATGAACTGACTTTTGACAAATTTGAATACGTCGCTCTAGCGAAAGTAAGTTTACTCACTTTTATATTTCAATAAATATATATTACGGAGATTAATGTTTAAAATAAAAAATATAATATTCAGTAATATTGTCTCTTAAAAGTTACAAATTTGCGTGGTCTGAGGCACAGAACTGGAAGAAAGCTAACCCCAAAAGATCGAAATAGCGTGCAAAACAAAGGAAGCAGAAATATTAGGTTGGCAAGAAAATAATTTCGGTTTGCAAAAATACGCAGCGTTATGTTCGTTTTGTTATTCTTCTTTCAATTTTATATTTTTTACTTTTGAAATTTGGCAGTTGACACTTTATGGGTGCTTTTGAAACATATTCCGTAAATTTGTGTTTACAGTCGATTTAAGGTCGATTTTAACATGAGGTGTAAAAATTAAAATTAAAAAAAAACTGACAAATTTCACGTTTTTATTTTCATAAAGACAAGAAGCGGCTGAAGCTCCCTAAGAGATATATGAAGTTAATGATGTTGATTGCTTAATAGAACACATGTGTCAGAATTTGTTTAAAAATTTTTGTTTTATGATATTTTTTATTTGAAGATGACCAACGTTTTAGCCGACTTTCTGACAAAATTAAAGCCATAATTAAATGGAATCGTCATATAACGTTTTGAAACGAATTATTGCTGGTCATGAAAAATGGACCGTCTACAATAACATTTATCGAAAAAAGATCATTTTCCAAGCATGATGAATTAGCGCAAATCATATCGAAAGCTCAGTTGCATCAGACAAAGATCTTGTTGGCAATTTGGTGAGATTACAAATGTACTCTGTGTTTATATCTGCTTCCAAGGAACCAAACGATCAACTCAGATGTTTACTGCCAACAACTCATGAAACTGGAGAAAACAACAAAGGAGAAAAGGACAGAATTGTCTAATCACAAAGTAATCATGTTCTACCTCGACAATGCGACGCCTCACACACCTTTAGCAAGAAGTACGAAGTTACCGGAGCGTGGTTGGGAGTGATATTGCATCTCCTGTATAGCCCCGACCTTGGACATTCGGATTATCATGTATTTTGAGATTTACAAAACATTTTAGTTGTTAAAATTTCAGTAATAAGGATGATAGCATTGTGGTTGAGAATTTTGCTGATAAAGAAGTTCTATGATCGAATCCTGGAGAAGGCATAGTTGTAACTGTCCGTCCCCTTCATAGGAAGCAACGGTGGTCGCCTATTAAGTGCCTCCACTTCTAGCTTTAGGATTGGCCAGTGCTGAACAGGCAAGTGCATGCCATTGGATTACAAATAGTATTATTCGGCGGTAATGACTACTAGTTTATTTCGCCATTCACACAGTGTGCCCAGGAAAGCATGTTAGGCTGGATGAAATGCACTACTGACATAAAAGGACATGCTATATAACAGGCCTTCCAGCTGAGAGTAAATCATTTATCTGAATATAGAATTTTGGCATCTGTTGGAGAGATTGCAAAATTTATGAGCCCTTAGATGGTAGCAAGTAGTCATGTCACGCAGTTGAACTCAAAAGAGGTAAAGAGGAAAAGACGTTGAACAATAGGAATTCAATTTGGACAAAGTTTCCCGCCAATGATTTCCGAATACGCATCGTATTTTATTCTATTATCAATCTAATCATTTCTGCTTTGTACTGACTTATTTTTTCTAAAATTATTTCCGTATTTGCCCTCCCACCGCCCTCAAGAAAAACGAGACGCACAAGAGATGTTGATTATATCATCACCATTTAAAACATAAAGCAAAGTAAAAGTATTATTTATTTTATCATTTTTATAGATGTACAGAATGTCGTGCTTTCGGTAAAAAAATCTTTCTGATCTTGTCAGAAATATGTGCAGAGGCGTTCTAATGTAAAAATGCCTTGCAGGTGAATCAGATAAAAAGCATACGGTATTGTTACGAATATCTTGTGAAATGTTTGCTATCGTTATTTAAATTTGGATATAATGTAAGACTCGAGGCAATAGTTATATACGTACACTAAATACTTGAAAATGCAAAACAGAACTTACTAGTTAAATGTTACTGCACTAGTTGAATGTTACTCACTAGTTACTTCGTTCATACTTCTAAGCGATGAAACATTTAGATTATTTGCCAATGTATAGACAAATTTAGAAATATTTTCATTCATACGCATATACTTGCTAAAATAATTTCGAATTCTCACCAGTAGCTATTATTATTTATACATCTCAATGTTTTAATAGAGTAACTAACACACATGAAAATAAGTTAAGCCAGAACAAAAACCTCTCTAAACTGTACCGAAATATCACATATTTTTAATAATTGAAGGAAAATAAAAGTATAACACATTTATTCAGTTCAATAAGTTAATGTCATCAGTTGTTACTTAGGCGGGTATGTTTTGCAATGTTTGTTCAGTTAAAATTAAACATTAAAATATCTTTTGAGCAGGAAGAATATAAAGCTGAATGCGAATATTAATTAATCAAATAATCGCAGTTAATATGACAATGTTCCAATAGTAAAGCAAACAGCTTTACTTTGCTATTGGAATATTTGCTCGTATTATCAGTTTGATTCGTCTCTTGTAAAATATTTTAGATATTTTAGTAATAAACTATATAGGATATTTTAGTTGTTTTATCACTTCTTTTTTCTGCGAAAGAATTCTTAACATTGCATAGTACAAAATATATTTGCAAAAATTATTAGGGAAATTTAAAGGCAAAGTATTGTTAAGTTGTAGTTCGATTACTGCTAACTGATATTGTAATAAACCGCGTCTGATACTTTCTTAGATATGAACTGTAAATTTATTAAAATGCATATGATAAATAAAACTTCCTTAAATGAAAACTAACAGACAGTTGGTAGTTAATACAAAATCTTTTCTTTCAATATTATTTAACATTTAATTGACAAATGAACATTTAGTGTTTTATCTTCTTCTGACTAATCTTCTGACTAATCTCAAATCAGATCTATAAATTCATTCATCTTCATAACTTCCAAGACGAAATTAGGTCTCTTCAACAGATCTTCACACAACAACGGAACACAACAAAGTAGATGCTGCTCAGTAACTTCATGGTTTTTTACATCTGGCACAAGTGGGAAACGTTTCAGTACTATGGGGAATATGCGAGGGACCTTAAATGTCCTCAAGTCAAGCCGTTTGGTCTTTCCTGTCACCCTTGAAACAATTGTATTTTACAAGTATGGGGACTATTTTACGGCAATATAATATTAACTGCCAGAAATGAAAAATTGTTCTGCAAGTATTAGGTGCAGTTCAAGGTTAGTATGAGAATCTGATTGAATAACTCTAATATGAATATGTGTCGGAAATATAGTAAAGTTTAGTGCCTGTAATTTTTCCATGCCCGTAATTTTTAGTTGCCAGATGCAAACGTCTACAATGTCTTTCTGTGGAAGGCTAAAAGTAGCACAAATATGCATCAGGCAGTTTTTCAAATGTTATTTTGTTGTTGATTTTGTCCCTCGTTTAAAAGAAGAAACAATCGTAATCTCTGAAGAAGTTTCTCGTTTAGTTACTTCTTAAATATAGAACATTATTTCAATGATGGCAGTAAAGGGCTGTTTGATGCCCTGATCGGTAAAGTGATTAGCATTGGTAGCTGCCATATGGTTGGGCACGGGGTCGAGTCCAAGACAAAACTTAGATTTTTTGTAAGTGCATAATCTTCTTCATAGTCTTCATGCCATGGGAGCACTTTAAGTACGCAGCCATTTGGGATAGTTTTCTTGAGAGGTTTAGAGATAGGGTAAGAATGATTTCAAGCCCTTGAATTTGTCTTTCGAGGATTCTCCTTTAAAACTGGGACGCAGTTGTACAAAGTTACCCATAAGGGTCATGCCAATAACAGATCCTGCCACGGTAAAATTCGTAACTTATCCTGATTCTTCTTTCAGTTAAGTGAGGCAAGTCACAGTTCCCATTTAATACTATATACTATGTTTTTGTTACTTAAAATGCGGCTTCCGTGATTATGGTGTAGATAAATGAGTTCTTAATTCTTATAGAGATGACAGAAGTAATTCAATTTCCTCATCTGTCTGTTTTCTTCCTTTACTTCAGCTTTGCGCTTCCTTTGTCAAATCTTTCTTTCTACTTCCTTTCCCTCATTTACTCATTGTAGTTAGATTTCCGGCTGGAATGTGGTACTATTATTTATTCTGTCTGAGCTTGCAATGGCTTCGTTGGATCATTAAACTATCGAACTGTTCTGTGAAGACTATTCTTAATGTTCTTAAACAATCTTCTAAAGTAGATGGTAGTGCTTTCAGTTAATAGCTGTATATTGTTTGTCTTTTGCCTGCTCTTTAAATTTGATATTGCACCTTTTATTTAACTTCTGGTTTCATTTTAATACGCTTAAATTAAAAATACACCACTTGATCCACAAGCTATGCAGGAAAAAGCATGACTATTTTAATGATGGGCTTGTGCAATCAGAAGATTAGTGAAGTAATAATTGTTGCACAGCAACTGTATTATAAAATTGAGGAACTAAAAAAAGCTATTAATGCCTCTGAAAAAATGTTGCTAATTTCAGTTTACCGAAAATTATTTGTAAAAAATCGTTTACCTTGTTCAGAAATTACCTGAAGTCGTAAAACTAAAGATTAAAGGGAACAAAAATAGTATTTAAGAAACCGCAATCTATTTTAAATGCACTTCTTCGTTTACATTCATAAAAATATAACCACTAAGTCCAGTTAAAGCTTTTCTCCCTGAGAGATAGATTAATACACTGCATTGGGAAGCTGCCATAACCTTTGTAGTTTTAAAGTCTTAGGGATAATTATAAAATTATTCCCTTAATGCTGTGTTTTCAAATTTCAGGTAATAATACATGGATACGAATGAGAAGTGTACCTATGAAAAATTTTGAATTTAATGCAACAGAAAGATTTAATGTTTCTTGTAATTTCCAGTCATCATTTTTCTTTTTAAAAGACCGTATGAATGCATTTTTATTCTTGTTGAACTTCGTGCAACTAACTGTGTTTATATATGATGCAGCAATGTAATCAATAAAGAATTTAAAAATTAAAATAAATTCTGAAAGGATTCAACGGCTTCTAGGAAGGGCAGACAATTTACCTTTATGCCAAACCCAGACTCGAACCTGGGCTCTTCCGTATAGGAATCGCAGTAACTAATCCCTTTCTCGTCTGGGCGGCCACGTCAGATGGTTTATTAAGGATATTTAGCCTTTTGCTGAGCTAGCAATTACTAATTTACTACTGAATTTCCATCTGTTAACACAGCGTCGTTTTGTCTTTTTAATTTAATTATTACTCGTATTAAATACCGCTTTCTTCGAACTACGGCACATAATATTCAGCAATAAAATGATCAAATTTTTAAAATCATCATTTTTTAGAACTCCCGCTTAAGTGTTGCCGTACACTTTTCTATTTTTGTTTTCAGGCCTTTCACATTTCATCATATCAGTGTTCAATTTTCTAAACACGATCACCTACACACTCTTTTTTGCATTTTTAACTTTATTACTAAACATCACTTTCTTCATAGAAATATACTTGTACCGTATAAAATTCAGCAGCAAAATTAGAAACTTTTTAAAAACAGCATATGTTTAGAATTCCCGACACAGTATTAAGTGTTGCCATTACATGTTTTCAGGCTTTTCTCAATTCATCGTATCAATATTCAGTTTTCTTAGTGATATTATTTATTATTATTATCTCCTTATTACTAACATTCTGCCTCTTTTTACTTTATTGTTTAAGCATCACTTTCTTTTCAATTACAAGTCATGAAATTCAAAAGCAAAATCACAAAATATTTAAAAATAGCATACCTTTAGAATTCTCAATTACTTTACCACACATTTTTTATATTCGCTATATTTTTGTCTTTAAAAATAATGCATCGTGATAACATTTGGTGGAAACATCGTTTTATCTCTACTGCCATACTCGTTTTTCTATATTCGCTATATTATATTTAAATAATATACAACATTTTGTACAACATCGATTTATTTAAAAAGTAATATGAAGGACGGAAAAATTGATGAACAAGACTAATAGCATTTCTGGTGCTAATTAACAGTTAAAAAACAAAAATATTAAAATAAAGAATTGAGAGAATATTAAGCTGAAATTCTTTATAAAACTACCTAATATTATATTAAAAGGTAAGAGCTGAATTTGAATAATTAAATAAATTGATTCCCTATCTTCAAGGATATTTGGAAATTTTAAAGAAGCTGTTTTCCAATTACTTTTCATATCATTTTTGGTAGATTTGAGAAATATAAGCGCAAATATATTTTTGAATATCATTGACTTTTTTTTCAAATTCTTTACCTTAAATATAGGGTATTTCAAAGAGGGGAAGAAGAATGACTTTAGCAGCTTGCGATGTTGTTAGTTCTTGAGATAAAAAACATGTCATCCATTACTTAAAAGTATAATGAAGAAGGATTATATTCCAATACTTAGCTGTGAGTTCGGTGTTTTACTTAAACACAACAATTCTGCAACGACGAATGTCTTCTCAATGCAAATTATTACTTCTGTGATATGATGGTATAAACTCACAGATCTCCAGATGTTGATCATGTTGTGGAATTTTTATTTCAGTATTCCTTGAAGTTATGAGTCTGTTCAACTCACCACATGACCAAACCTTTGGCACGGAATTTTTCAGTACCGCTTTTTAGCACTGCTTTCAGTACTGGTTTTAGTACTGGGCCCTAGAATGTATGGCATGGAATTTAAGGTTATCTTGATGCTTTATAACTCATGCGAATCATGCGTGTAATGCACCTGATATAGAACCTTCATTTTGGTGAGATCAAGTGACGTACGACGCGTTTTTGTATTACAGGAAATAGAAATTTTGCAAGTAAATACTGTCTACTTCTTCAAAACTTTTGACAATGTAAAAAATTCCATTTTGCTTAAATATACATGATTGATGAAAACCTTACCAAACATGTTTTATTTGTTTAATTATAGACTCTAAATATTGTTAACTATACTGCATGCAATAAAATTTTAAATTCCATCATGAACAGTAATTGCAGAAACTTAATTCCTTAGATGGGCACTTAGAATATATGCATAATGATACTTTGTCTAGCTAACAGTTAATACCATTTGCAGACTAAACAGAATGTTTAGACTCAGTATGCTGACCAAGTTTTAATCAAGTCTTATAACAACCTACAGGAAATACTGTTTAATAGCTTATCACTCTAACTGCTATTCAGTAATGTATTATTTAAAAGTCTAAATTTCCCAGAGCATCATAGGGCAAACCTACTGAACCGCTGCTATTTCATTCTGTTTATTGTTAGTGGAGAAGTCCCTAGAACGAAATCTTGAAGCGTAAGTTAAAGCTTTTATTAATGTTTAGCTAATACTTTCTACAGAAGTATTACAATTCTACAGAACTCAAAACGTTTACAGGCATATATCATTGCCTGCCAGATAAAAAATCCACTAACAATTACTTAGCCTCAGACCACACGGGAAATGTTAAATTTCGTAAAATTCTATAAGCTAGTAGTGAGTACCTACCATTAATATACCCAGTATATAATTGAAATCTTGAGAAGTAAACAGAGGAGATCCAGGTCTGAAGTTTGTAAATCTTACACTAGATGCTCTGCCTAACCGAAATGCTGGTTAGTGGCTTACCTTATTGAAGGGCTCGGGCTTGAATCGAGGAGAAGGTACGGATGTTTGTAAATGTATAATGTCTGTTGCAGCATGGGGTCACTCTGAATATGCGGAGGGCCGAAAGTACCATCGAGAGCTCAAGAAATTGGTGGTAGGGAAAAAGAGATAGGAGATCCTACGGACTCGTTCTTTACGAGGTGCTCTTCCTCAAAATTGGGGGCGGAAATTAGCTCAAGTCGGGCTGTCACCTAATGGTGCTGAAGGCTGTTGCCATCGGCAGAAAAATTTGACTTCTGGTCACGATTAATGTCATGGGCTTGTCTGACAGTCAGCCCATGATTAATGTCATGGGCTGACTCATGACATTAATAATGCTTGTGCTGACTGTCATACAAGTGAAATTATTAACAGCAACAAATACTGGATGCATATAAATGATCTTGAAGACATATCTGCATTAATTTACTTTCTAAATATTCCAAAACATAAAACCCAGTTAAAAGTAGATAAGTCTTTGTTTATTATTTGACGTACTACAATGCCATTTGAATCTCTTTGATTCATTATTGACCTAAAGCGATATACATGTGATCGCGTAAGCCAGTTCGCGAATGAGATATTCAAACAGCCGATGGTATGTTCTGGTTGTCATTCTCTCATTCATAACACAATTTTCGTATGGTAGTGCAAAACCTTTTATAATTTTTCCATGTCTGCACAGTAAAAAATGCATCATATTAAAGGCAATATCTGTAAAGGCATCATATTGCGATATCAAAGAGGACGCGTCTTTCCCATTATAGAGGTGTACAATAAACTGAACATTAACTATATTAATTATGTTTTTCTGATGAATTTATCTTCTTTGAAAACGTAGTATGTGTTTTAAAAATGATTATGACTTAAATGACTACACCTTATCTGCTTTTGGCTTTCAATGTAACGAAATATAAGTTCATATCCAGGCGTACTACTGCCACATAATGATTTAAAAAAGGAAGTTTTTGTTTTCTTCTTTCAGAGTCATTAACTTTCAGCAATAACTCATATCTATTATTTCACAACAGATTACTCTTTTGAAATATTTTAATACAGGCTTCGCTTTCTGTCTTTTCTTTTAGACATACAACACCAACAGTCAAGTTGGGGATTCTGGTGCTTGCGCAACGGCTTTACTATGCGGTGTTAAAGGCCGTTTCGAGACTGTAGGATTAGACGACAGCGGGATCTTCGAAAAATGTGAAAGCAGTCTTTTAGCCCGTATTCCATGCCTTGCAGAATGGGCTCAAGCAGAAGGTGAGTTTATTACTCCTTTATCTATTTTCTACCTAGGAAGAGATAAAAATAAATGCGTCGAAAGCACATATTGTTGCCTGCGTAGGGATTCGTAAGAGATTGAATGCACAAGTCCTATAAGAGGTTATTAAAATTCACTCTTAGAAAAAGGAATATAACAAAACACTGGAATTTTTCTCAGAAATATTTGCACAAGTGTTCACATTATCACGCACTAGTAATCAGTAGTTGCACTTTAAAGTACTAAAAGCGTTAAGTAGGACGCAAAGCACAGGAGAGCGAAAGCTAATCCGATCAACAGTAGCAAAAACAGCTAACTAAACATCAACAACTGAGATGAGATGTTTTCTGTCTGGCTTTTTATAACTTTAAATAGGTCGCCAGAGATTCTAGTAATTTCTGCTTCTCGAGATTTCTGGAAAGAAAAGGAGAAGAATTACTGAATACTAACATAGTAGACAATTACGGAACTACTCTGATATGCGCTCTCAGGTCGCCAAATATTTTTGGCGAGAACCTCCACGCTGCCATATTGCTATCTAAATGTTTTGTCTACATTTCGAACTTTAAGCCTAAAATGTCTCCAAAAACACGGTTTTCGCGAAGCAAAACCACGTTTTTAAACACACAATTTAAGCTAAAAATCCGAAAAAAAACAAAAAATTTTAAACCAAAAACCGTGAAGTTTCTACCAAAATTAATTGACAAGAGTCCATGTACACCGATATGTTTTAACTTAAAAAAAAATCTCGAATGCACAATCTAGGCAACGGACGAAATCTACGAACACACACACCTCGCTTTAATAAATTAAAACATAACAATAAATTTCAAAGACCATTACACAGCATCCTGGTTTAACTTAAAAAAACATCTACGAATTGCACAATTTAGGCAACAAAGAATCTACGAACTACGCACATCTCACTTTACTAAATTAACATAACAACAATAAATTCAAGATACCATGTAAACAGCGTTCTGTTTCACTTTAAACATCTGCGAAATGCACAATTTAGACGGTACGCACTATCAAATAAATAACTAAAATAAATTTCAACAATTCAAAAAAAACAATAGCGACAGAAATTCCTACTAAAAAAACAATGATTTAATTACAAAATAAGAACAAGAATAAATAAATGCACTTACCATTAATGCTTTTTTCGAACAGAAAAATACCAATTTCATACCGCCTTTACATGCCGCCACATAATCACTTTCGTATTTATATGACAGCCAGACACACACATCCAGAAAATTCAATAAGGTTCGCAAATAATAAAAAACAAATAATCACAAATCCTACTCTATCACGTACGCCACTAAAAATATCTCCCATACCCTCTTTCCACCCAAAATACCCATTGCCCCTCAACAGATGGCGATATTTCTTTTTGCGAACTTCACTTCAACAACTTTCACCGTTTATCTTTCCCTCTAGGCTTCTCAGAACAAGCATGACGCGAACTCAGCGAAGATTGTCAACAGGGTTGCCATACAACACGCCAAAAACCAGCGCAGAACACATATCGCCACATTTGGTGAAATTAGGGCGTATATCAGAGTTGTACCACAATTACATTTATTCAAATTAAATGTAACTTATAAATTACTGAGATAAACTTTTAGTCAATGTTAAATGCACGTGCTCCTGTATTTTTACTTTCCCTGCATAGCTTACTCTTAAAACTCGTCTCGCGCTGCATTGCATGGGGAAATAAAACAATTTTAATTATAACTCTACTAAAATTAGCTATCTAAATACAAAATTCGTAACATCCTTGGTTACTCCTTTATCATCCGTGGTTATTCCTTTTATTTATTATTATTTTATCTATTTATTACCTGGGAAGAGATAAAAATAAAGACGCTAAAAGCACATATTAACCAATTAAATCAGCATTTGGGCCAAATTTGGGCAGTTATATATATATATGTAAATAAGATAAATTTTTAATTTGTAGCAGGCTTTTAAACATTCTTTTTAATGTGATTATTTCTCCCTTTCTATTATAAAAATAATAATACAGTTGATTCCGGTTAATCGGACCACATCGGGAAACGATCGTTTTGGTCCTAATAACCGGCTGGTCCGATTACACGAACGTGTCCTATGTGTAAGACGGGGCGTGCTACATGTAGTGTAGAGAAATATGTGAGAAAATACGGCAGCAAATGTTTTAATATCCAAAATGTAATGATATAATGGTTGAAAGTGTAGTAAATAAGAATTACTTGGGCACCAAAAATAGTAACTTAGCGTGATCGAATTTAAGGATTAACAAATGTGAATCGCAATAACCCATAAATACTTGAAAAATGTGCAGATAATAAAATGTGTGATCTAAAAGAAATACGAAATCAAGATAACTTACCCCAAAAAATGACAAACAGGTATTACCAAATCAATTAAATTTATTTCTTTATCTTTGTTACTGAAATAAGCATTCACACAAATAAAAATTATCTACCAGACAGACGAATGAATGAATCTGAATATCAGGCACGAGTGATGCGCATCACCAAAATAGTGAATGAAGCACTGAGAATAAAATTAATATTTTTCCATCAGCGCGAAACAATTCCTCTGTGCGAAAGGAACAATCAAATTTTGATGGCAGTCATTATGTGTACTTGGTTAATCGTAGTGTTATTGCCTTCTCTTCTTTAAATCAGGAAATTTCAGATCTCATAAACACGTGCGCGCGAAGAGTTCTCGAAAGGAGGCAGGAGCTGAACAAAATTATTTTCTGCAACGATGTATAGGAAACTGGAGTAATTATTTTGTTGAATCTTGAACTAAAAATCTGATTAAAAAGGAGTTTCTTGTATCAGCAGACCGCATCTAAGGAAAACAGCAACGAAAAAGAAAGAAAATAGCACATCTCATCGGCCAAGGGAGGACAGCCAGCCAGCGACCTACACCAACGAACCCCAGCAGCAGAAAAGGAGAAATTGGTTGTTGCAATCTTTTTCGCCTTGTCATTCGGCGGTCGCAGTTAACAAACCTGATGCTGAATAATGTGAAGGCTTGCCTGCACATGTAGTAAATAGTAAATGTACATGTAAATCATGTACTAAACTGTAATTATGACCTTTATCGTGCGGTACACACATATGGCGAACATACATGTTCAAACAAAAACTACAGTCGAACTTTTTTCATTGAGAAAATTAATTTAGAAACAAAATTCTAAGAAACGATCTCCACGATACTCAGCATGGGAAGCACAATTAAAACAAGTTCTTACCAAATTCCAGTCAATATTTGAAGAACTTATCCAATGTGGTCTGACGCGTTCTCATGACGGATTGCACGTGAACGAAATCGCCACGAACATCTAACGCAGCAATGAGACTTCCTTCATTTCCCTTCTGCATGAAATACCGACGCAAAGTTTCAATACATTTCCTCGCATCTTGTGTTGTCACTTGCACCAACGTATTAGCGGCATCGTAATCATCACTTTCTTGGTCTTCCGATGCTCTCCGTGTGTTTTGCTGCAACCCGAGCAACGATTGCAGCGTCGTAATCTTCATTTTCATCGTAGCATTGAAGCTCGTTGTCGATGGATAAAAATTGTTCGCAATTTTGTATCGGTTAAAGATCATTTTCACTTTAAATGAGCATGTCCACATCCATCTTCAAAACCAAATGCTTAAAGCCACAGTGAGGAAAAAACTCTCTGAATTGTCTCACTGCTCACTTTGCGCCAGCTGGTCGGCCACAAATTAATTGCTGTAAGATGTTGACCTTGCATGGACTTCGCTGGCTTTTGACGATGAGTCAGCAAACTTTCTTCAATTGCTTCAAGGATGTAATTAACCAACCTTGCACGATAAAGGGTCTTCAAATTTTTTATGATGCCCATGTCCATTGGCTGGACCAAAGCTGTGATTCTGGGAGGTAGAAATTCCAGTTGGATGTTCTTCAAGCAATCTAAATGATGATGTGCAAAACAATTGTCAAGAAGAAGCAACACTTTTTTCGACTCTCGTTGTAGCTCTCTGTCCCAGTCCTACAACCATTCTTTAAAAAGTTCAGATGTCATCCACGCATTTCTGTTCGCACGATACACAACTGGTAAACGGTCCATCCTAAGTCCTTTAAAGCAGCAAGGCTTAGTACTTTTTCCTATAACCAACACCTTCCTCTTGTCCGCTCCTGACCTGTTAAGACAAATTAAGCAGCACAAGACAGTTACGCAATCCATCGTTTTTTAGGAGCAAGAGAGTGCAAAGTTTGTACTAATGAGCTGCCGGGTAGCACGATAACAGCCAGTTTCATCATCATTGTAGATGTCTCGGCTGAAAATTTTCAAGAACTTCGGGCATTTTGTATTCCATTTTCAGCACTCACTATCAACACTTCTTTCTTCCTTGTGCTTTCTGAATTTTAGTCATGTCTAGATTTCTATTGATACAACCAACCGCCGTACTTCAAGTCACCTGGGCAGCTTTGCGGGCGAGTTTCTTCTTTTTTTGGCGTTTACATTGGGCCGCTTACTCGCACAGCTCTCCAGTAACAATGCAACCATCATTAAGGGTCTCATCGTGTTGCTCTTGCCTTCCGCTCGTTTTTTGAAAGTTCCTCTCGTCCTTTCCTGTACCCATTCTCGCAGATCTCTTGCTTATCAAGCGCGAAATTGTAGTCTTTGCCAATCCGGTTATTTCCACCAACCGACGCTGACTAGTGTTTCGTGGTTGTTTCTTGATCTTATCCAGGAAACCAATTTTTTCCGCTAACGTCAAGTCCCGTCGTGGAGTTTTGGCATGGGAGATTAGACACGAGCAACGTTCACTGGCTAAAGTTGAGTGAAGAAACTTTGGTGTTTCGAGGTCAAGATTTTGAGGTCATGAAGGAGATAACATGCTCGCCATTCAAAGCTTTGGCACTAAAAATCTTCCGAAAAGGGTGTTGAAATGATAGCTTTCTCGTGTAAACTTTAATCATGACTGACAGCGAAGAATTTCTTTCAAGTGAAGCCGGACACTCT